TGATTGAATCATTGAATATGATTTAGAACTGGTATTTTTTAATAATGTACAGAAACTTTTGGCAACCTTTAACATTCAGAAGAAAGAAATGTCTAAACATTTTTACATTCTACATTAGTCAGTTTTTTTATTGTATGGGTTTGAACAGAAATTGAATTCTGTTTATCGAAATACCCCGCCTGACGTCAGAAAGAGCTAATGTGGTTTTGAAAGGATTGATCTTGGTAATTAGCAATAGTTCTTGACGGAGTAGCTGTCAAATATTTATTTTTCTTTAGTAGAGTTGTCCATTCATTTGTTCTTTTTTGAGCCTCTGATTCAATTTTCTAATTAACCCTAGCCTTAACCTTTAACCCCTGCCAGAGATTAGCATTGTCACATTGAACAGACATCATCCCCATGACAAGCGTCACATGTAACCTCTGACTTTAAGCAAATCCGGTTGCACACAGTAATTTACATACAAAAGAGTTTTAAAGTCATTTTCAAGTATATTTAGCAATAGTTTATATATAGTAGTTTAGAAGTAGTTTCCAAATAGTAGTTTAAAAATTAAGTAGTTTATAAAATTAATTTAGAAATAGTTTCAATATAGTAGTTAAGAAGTAGTTTACAAATAGTAGTTTACAAATCAGGTAGTTTAGAAGAACTTTATAAAAGTAATTTAGAAACAATTTTCATATAGTAGTTTAGAAATAGTTTCCGAATAAAATTGTTTAGAAGTAGCTTCCAAATAGTAGTTCAGAAATAGTTTTCAAATGGTAATTTTTCAAGGTAGCTTAGAACTCGTTTACAAAAGAAGTAGTTTACAAATAATCATTTTAAAGTAGTTTAGAATTTGTTTTTAAATAAAGTAGTTTAGAATTACTTTACAAAGGTAGTTTAAATCGTTTCCAAATAGTTGTTTCCAAATTAAAGTAGTTAATAGTAGTAGTTTATCGAAGAAATTCGTGCCATGTAGTAGTTTAGGGATGTTTCCAAATAAGGTAGTGTAAACAAAAATGATTTACAAAAGTAGTTTAGAAATCATTTCCAAGTAATATTATATAAATAAACTAGTTTTGAAGTAGTTTGGAAATAGTTTCCAGATAGTAGTTTACAAATAAGGTAGTTTAGAAGTAGTTTACAAAACTAGTTTACAAATATTTTACATATAGTAGTTTATAGAGAAAGTAGTTTTGAAAAGTTTACAGTTTAGAACAGTTTACAAAAGTAGTTTGTTGTTAAATGAATTTTATGATTTAATGTAATCAAGCGTAATTCAGAAATCAGTTTCTGTTGTGTGCTCTGAGAAAAAAATACACACATAAATTTTATACAAGTAACTGGACTGCAGTTTGCATGAGGCAGTTTCATTATAAATTAAAGATCGATGAAGAAAGATAATGAATCTCAATTTCATTTTTCTTTCTTACTGAAAAGTGAATGAGCAGTCAGGTGTATATGGATCATAGCATTAAGATGACGGGGGTGACGCGTCCCTCTCACAGTTAACATATCACACGTCTGTATCCTCTCAGTCAACCTCCTTTACTTTACCTCCATTGTACATCAATTACACTCCAGCTTTAAAGATTATCCCTTTAAGAGCCGTCATTGTAATCCGTGTGTCTGTAGTGGAGAGTCACAGAGAGAGTAAAGGAGAGGGGGGACGCTGGCCATGCTGGGATACCTTTCAATGGAGCTGATTCCCTGGCCAGTCAAATGCACAGTCAGGAAGATCAAAGTGCCATGGGAGTATAATTACCTCCCACTGGGCAAATTACACACTGTGGACCCCCCCTCCCAATCAGTAAAAATGGTAAATAAGGACAACAATAGCAGTGATAGCTCAGGGGTGACACAGGGAGACTGTCAACAGAAGGCTTTTGTGTTTAATCCCAGTAAGTTCCTCTTTCTTTCCTCCTCCGCTGACCACAGAACGGAGGCCATCATGATGATAGACGTGTCTGTTTGAGCTGCAGGATGAGAGGGGTCGCTGTCTGTGTCTCTGTAGGTTTAGCAGATAGAGGACAGACAGGTGTGTGGGCATTAAATAAGGCGTTTGTATATTCATCTTGGTAAAAACGAAGTCTAATGTAAATAACCACCTTTTGGGTGGCATTAGGGTGAATGTTATTATACTGTAATGCAGTTTTATACTAATTTTACTGTAATACAAGTTTTTTAACATCAATTCATTTTATACTCTAAATTTAATTTACATCAACATTTCTAAAAAAAAAATTACTCAATTTTATGTTATGCAATTTATTTACATAAATGTTTTTTTTATTTTTTTTTTACATTTTTTTATTTTTTTCTATTATTTTATTCATTATATTTGTAATCCAATTTATTTACATTAAATTGTTTATTTTTTTTATTCAAAAGTTACTGTAATGCTATTTATTTATTTACATCGAAATTTCTATTATTTTATGCTCAATGCAATTTGCAATTTATTATCATATTTTATTTATTATTTTATATTAACAATTTATTGTCATTTATAATATTTTATACTCTGAATTTACTGTAATGCAATTTACTTGCTTCAAATTTTCTATAATTGTTTTCCTCATATTACTGTAATGCAATTGATTTACATTTTTTATTTATTTTACACTCAAAATTTACTGTAATGCAATTCATTTATTTACATCAAGGTAATACAACACAACACTACAATTATGTATAATTATTTTAAAATATGAATTTATTAAGTTATAAATATTAGCATTAAGATGACGGGGGTGACGCGTCCCTCTCACAGTTAACATATCACACGTCTGTATCCTCTCAGTCAACCTCCTTTACTTTACCTCCATTGTACATCAATTACACTCCAGCTTTAAAGATTATCCCTTTAAGAGCCGTCATTGTAATCCGTGTGTCTGTAGTGGAGAGTCACAGAGAGAGTAAAGGAGAGGGGGGACGCTGGCCATGCTGGGATACCTTTCAATGGAGCTGATTCCCTGGCCAGTCAAATGCACAGTCAGGAAGATCAAAGTGCCATGGGAGTATAATTACCTCCCACTGGGCAAATTACACACTGTGGACCCCCCCTCCCAATCAGTAAAAATGGTAAATAAGGACAACAATAGCAGTGATAGCTCAGGGGTGACACAGGGAGACTGTCAACAGAAGGCTTTTGTGTTTAATCCCAGTAAGTTCCTCTTTCTTTCCTCCTCCGCTGACCACAGAACGGAGGCCATCATGATGATAGACGTGTCTGTTTGAGCTGCAGGATGAGAGGGGTCGCTGTCTGTGTCTCTGTAGGTTTAGCAGATAGAGGACAGACAGGTGTGTGGGCATTAAATAAGGCGTTTGTATATTCATCTTGGTAAAAACGAAGTCTAATGTAAATAACCACCTTTTGGGTGGCATTAGGGTGAATGTTATTATACTGTAATGCAGTTTTATACTAATTTTACTGTAATACAAGTTTTTTAACATCAATTCATTTTATACTCTAAATTTAATTTACATCAACATTTCTAAAAAAAAAATTACTCAATTTTATGTTATGCAATTTATTTACATAAATGTTTTTTTTATTTTTTTTTTACATTTTTTTATTTTTTTCTATTATTTTATTCATTATATTTGTAATCCAATTTATTTACATTAAATTGTTTATTTTTTTTATTCAAAAGTTACTGTAATGCTATTTATTTATTTACATCGAAATTTCTATTATTTTATGCTCAATGCAATTTGCAATTTATTATCATATTTTATTTATTATTTTATATTAACAATTTATTGTCATTTATAATATTTTATACTCTGAATTTACTGTAATGCAATTTACTTGCTTCAAATTTTCTATAATTGTTTTCCTCATATTACTGTAATGCAATTGATTTACATTTTTTATTTATTTTACACTCAAAATTTACTGTAATGCAATTCATTTATTTACATCAAGGTAATACAACACAACACTACAACACTACAATTATGTATAATTATTTTAAAATATGAATTTATTAAGTTATAAATATATGATTGTTTTTTTATTTTTTATTTTACTAAAATTCATGAAAATGTTTTACTGTAATAATATATCCCTTGCAAAAAAAAAAGTGTTGTACACTGATGATATCAGATGGCAATATGGCGCTTTATTTTTATTTCTGATATTTAGATTTATGACACTTAGTGCAAACTTCAAATAATACTTTGGTGTTACCATCATCGCCTTCAAAAACATATTAGCACTTTTTTATAATGATACTTTTTGTAAAGAATAGGTTGAACGTGTTTTAATGATTGAAAAAATATTGTTTTAATATATGAATTATCGAAGTACATAGAGGTCATTTGTCAAGTTCCACAAATCAACCCTGTTTTTTTATTGCTGCTAGACGTTCATATTTCTCTGCTTTAGCATCGATCTGTTTCAGCACTGTGGGGTGTGATTTCACCGATCATGTTTATGCATCCATGACTGTTCGCTCTGCTCTCCCCCCACAGCACTGATATGAGCCCCTCACAGGCCTTCATGAGCACAGACACGGAGCCGGTGCCAAACCCATTCTTCTTCACCAATGGAAAAGTGGTTCTGGGCTGGAATTTTTTTCCCTTAAACTTACTTGTCTTGGACCAGAAATCACTGATGTCAGAGATCAGAGGGTGGGATAATATTGTCACAAAGCAAAGTTTTATATGTACTTTATTTGTCCCACCTATCTGAAATAAAATTGTTTTGTTTAGAAATATCATATGGTTGAATTGATTGCTCTGAATTTTATAATATAATATTGTAAGTATATAAAATATATGTATTATAAAAAGTATTATATTTTATATTATGTAAATTATTTATGTAAATTCATTATTTTGTACGTTATTAACTTGACAGTTCTATCAAAAGTAGCTTGTTATGGCATAAAGATGCAGAATGTAATTACTTTTTTATTTTTAATATGTTTTCAAATATATAAGTATTTTATATATTATATGTATTTTTATATTATTTATGTTTTCAGAACTGAGTGAAAAGTGTGAAAAGTTTTGTGGGGAGCTTACATTGAAAAATATACACACAC